GTAAGTATTGTGTATGTTGTCGATAGGTTTTTTTATATTTTTTGAATTTTGATATCTTTATTTTTCATTTTACTGGGTGAATTTTTTAATATCATAACAGTAAAATTTATTGGGGGTTTTATTTTTATTTTTAATCATATGATATAGAAGTATTTTTTGATAATTTTTTTCATCATATTTATTATAATATTATAATTAATAATTATACATTGATAACCAAATCTTGTATTTTATTTATTAATTTATTTACATAATAAATTATGTAATGCATTATTTTTATTATAGTTGTAAATAATATTTTTTAAATTAAATGATATTATAAGACATTTAAATTGGTTCTTATTTTTTAAAGTATACATTTAAATTGGTTCTCATGTAAAATATTCGCATATTGATGCAAAAAAATGAAAGTTATTAATGTAGTACCCCCATTTCATATTGGATTCCTAAAAAGCATTTATAATGATTTTTTTTTTTTTGGATTTTTTTAAGGCTGAATCGATCGATTCTCGATCCGAATCGTTGATTCACCGATCTAAATGGGTTTTTGGAATACCCGATCCGCTTTTTAAACCACACTATCCATCTAAAAACAATGGTAACTAATGGTCTAAATATTTTTTAATATAATTATTAGTTTTAGTTTTCAATTTTTATTTTATTTTCATATTCATATTCATGATCTCCATCTTAAAAATATATATATATAGGGAAATTAGGACCAAATTATATTTAAGAAATATATTTATTACCAAGCCCGCATTTCTACAATATGTGGGCTGGCCGCATGCTAACCGCGTCCATAATAGAATAAGTCGAAGCTAGTGCAAAGTCGTTATAGCTTTAGAGCCAGAGATGGCGGATCGTTTGGGAAATGCCGTTATATGCAAGGGCCTTCCTCTTTCTCTCTCTTTCAGAAGCTCTCCAAACTCAGCCATGGCGACTCCAAGAATTTATCTCTGCAATGCCCACTGTCCTCCTCCTCAGCAGCCCTCATTGCTTGTGTTCTCGGGTATCTCACACATTTTGCTCTTTATGACTTTTATTCTTCGCTTCTTTGACCCTTCTTTTCAAATTGGCCTTCTCTCTACCAGCGCATGTGAATTGTGTTTCCTTGAGTGGTTTTTGGCGTTGAACTTTGGGTCCTCGATGTGGAAATCTTAGGGATTTTTGTGCCGTAAATATTTGATGATGGTCATGACGATCTCCTGTGAAAGTAAGCATGTTTGATATGTGTGAGTTCTGAATGCATCAATCGTCTAATTTTGATGTTTTTGCAAATATTAGGTCCTTACAGTGAATGAACGGGATGTATCTTTCAGCTCACTGAGATCATTTTCCATTTAATTCCTTTCTTTTTGACCTGACACGTCCTATTAATTTCGTGGAGAACTTTGCTCTCGCTTCTACTGTGTTTTGTTACTTCGTTTGAGTCTACTTCAGGCATTTAGCATTGCTTTCCCATGCCCGCTCTCGCAAACAAAGGGGGGTATTGGGTCCTCTACTTGGACCGGAGCACGAAATTTTTGTTTCCTTATGTTTCGTGGGAAGACTTATGATGAACCATTTGGTTTTCAGCCCCGAGTACATAAGAAAGCATGGAACATTTTCACCTGGACAAAATGGATGAAAGTTTTGTGAAGTTCAAGTTCAATTTTGTAGACATGTACCTTAGCTTTATTTTCTGCAACATTTTTTGATCCGTAGACATTAATTCTACCATTGGTATCCTCCCTTGTAATTTCTTCTCGGTTACTTCTCTTCGGTCTATTGCATGTGTTGCTCAAGCATGATGTATAGCTACCTCCCTTTGGACCTGCTAATCGAGTGAAATATCATACGCTTTCAGCATTCTGACTATGACTTCATGAAGTTATATAGCCTTCTACAAACCTGGTTATTTCATGGGTGTCACCAAGGGATCAGGTAGTTGATAGGCACTGCAGATTTGGGCTATTGAAACTTATTGTATCATAAAGATGAAGATTGCATACATATAGTGGTTGTTGGTTCCTTAAGGATACTTTGGAATGGGTCAGGTGGAACCGCATTTAATGGTGTTGTGGAGGAGCTCAAAAAGATGACAACTCGGGTTGCTCATGTTCTTCCTGTTTCTGATGATGGAGGAAGTACAGCTGAGATTGTTCGGGTGCTTGGTTAGTGAGATATTCTTGTATGTCTTTGCTTTTTACTTTCTTTTATATTTGAAAACACATAATTTTTGGAAGTGGGGATAAGTAAATGTGACAAAATGCATTTGATATAGGTGGTCCTGCTGTTGGTGACATAAGATCTAGATGTTTGAGACTATCAGATAAAAGCACATCTGAAGCCCTTGCTGTCAGGAGGTTGCTTGGCCGCCGTTTACCTCTGGATTCACTGCAAGCCAAATCAGAATGGTAGCTGTACTTTTATCATATTGTACTGCTTATATAAATTTGCTTGCAATAGGATAATCTTTAGTTCCATTGAAAGGGTCTTTGCACCCAGTTCCATTTAGAGGGATTTTTCACCAAGTAGATCTTTGTTTTTTGGTAGTTTTTACTGTTTATCCATATTTTGAATCATTTTCATGTTTTCTGTGACTAATTGCTCCATTGACATAAATGGTGCAAGGGAATGGGAAGTGGTCCTGAACATAAGGAGTCGAACATGAAGCGCCATGTAGATTTAGGTCCATTGCAGAAAAAATGGATCTTCTGAGTTTTATATATTCCATGATGATTTAATTCCTCCAATACTCCATTATTTTCACTTCCCAGAAATGAGATATGTTTAATATTCACCAACTCAGAAACGATAAGTTCTGTGAAGGGTTGGTGTTGTAGGGTATTTACAACCAGTAATTGTGTCATATGCATGTCATGTTTTTCCTCCTTTATTTTCATACATGCCAAGTGGTCCATTATTCAACGATTAACCCTATTTTAAGTAAGTAGGCATCTAGCGTGGAGAGGAACTAAAGATTCTTGTCCTTAGTTGAAATTATGACAGGTATAAAATTGTTGAAGGGGATCACATCTTGTGGAAAGGGGTATCAAAACCTTATAGGGAGACAATCCGTTCATTCCTGGTGTATTTTCACAATCAGGTATGCATGCTTATTGCTCTCTAGTTTAAAACTGAGTCTTCCTTCTTGAAATCGCCATTGAGGCTAGCTGCTCAACTATATGTATTTACTTGCAATGATCATCTTTTCCATTCTTCCATCTCTCACCTTAGGTCTCTCACAGCTACATTGATGATTCATCTCTCTCTCTTTCTCATGCAAATATGTATATACTTCCTAGACATACTTCACTCATATATCGTCTTAAATTCAGGTTATGAGACTTAAATAGTTACCTGATGTCTGGAAGGTTTTGAAAATCTAGATTATAAGTCAATCACTTCATTTGAATTTAAAGGATATAAGCTCAAGACACATAAGTGCTCTAACCATGTTTCGACTTGTGACTAATCCATAGATACCCATCATTGAGAGTGTGTAAAGGAGAATCGATAACCAATCGATCGTTCCTTCACGAGTACTTCTGAGTGTACCATTGAATGAATAGAATAATTGAAACTATTGAAAAAGAAAAAAGTGTAGTGCTATCTCTGTATACATAAGGATGTATACATCGCCCTATATTCAAATCATAAAGTACCCTTTTTATTCTTAGGTAGGCCTGAACGCATGCACTTGGGTAGCTCTGCTTCAAATTTATTTCTTTCATAGCAAGCATTTGTTTTGTATGAAATACTGTTTACTTTCCCGCGAGTACTGTTGCCCTGAGAGAACATTGATGTTTATAACAACGCTGTGAGGAAATGATTGAGGTGTCATACAAATAATATAAACTCCCAAAACATAGAATTCAACTGGAGTTATAGAGATTATATAAGCAGTTGGCAATTGTTCAATGCTTTAACTATAACAGGAGTCTTGACTTAAATACTAGTATATCGAGGTGAATATTGTGAAGTCACTTACTGGTGAAGTGGAAGCCTGAGCGACCGATTCTTTAGTCTTTGTATCATCTGATTTACATATTTAAAGTATCCTATTTACCCAACCAGGATGATGCAGACTGCTTTTGCGGTGGTTCAAATCTTATTACATTTTTATCTAAGATCTATGACTGCTATCACTGGGGTCTTCTAAAATCCAAATGTTTAGGGCCTCAAATCTTGGTTGAAAGGCAGCTGAAAATGTGGATTGTGAATTTTAAAATCAATTGGAAAGGTTTAAAACATTGGTTTATTTTAGTAAGTCATAGTTGGTTTTTTTGTTTGGCCTCTTTAGTTAAGTGTTTTAGAAGATATTTGTTTTCTTAATTTCTGAAGAGACAGATTCATGAAAGCTTTAGGGTTTGTTTAACTTCCAAGTTAAGCTAGATAAGAGGTTTTACCTCTATAAATACCTCTATTAATAAAGATGTAGACCAAGGCCAATTATAGAAGATATTGAAGATGAAACCCAGTATCTTTTTTAGATAAGGTGCTTATTCCTCTCCCATGGTATTGAGCCCACGACTTCTTTGTTTTGTCAGGTGTTGATGCTTAATAAAATTCAAGAACCCTAGGTCCAGGCATGTCCCTCTTTGTTATCTCAAACCTTTTTCTTCTGGATCCTTTGATCCCCTCTCCATCCAAGAACAAAATTTGTTACCCTTCTCAGCCTCTTCCAAAACCTTTCTTCTTGAACAACTCAATAAGCTCTCTAACACCTCCTAGAGCCCATCCCCCATGGCTTACACCCTCGAATCCTTGATTTACCCTATTCTATGCTAGAACCTTTGTTGGCACCCTCATTTCTTGCTTGAGTGAGAAATTCCAGCAAGCTTTAAACCCTTTAGAAACTCTAAAACCTATTCTAAACCTTGCCCTAACCAGACCAACCCTTCCCCATAATCCTAAACTTCATTTCTACCTTGTATTCTCCAATTTTACCCTAATTAGGAAACCTTCATAAGGTGTAAAACCATGGTTTCCTATTCACTGTTAGAAACCTAAGCCCTTTAAATATCTCAAATATGAACCTAATTAGAACTCCAAACCTGTTGAAATTCTTTCTTCCTAACCACATCACGTGTTAACTTGTTTGGGAGCTTAGCCCCATTTGTCTTACATGACAGGACTAAGGTATCCATCCATTTGTTTAGCTGGTGAGACCTTTCCCAAGCTCATACACTGGACCTGCCACCACCGCATCAGCTGCCTGTATTCTTTATTTATTGTCTTATTGATCCAGAGGTTTATGAGTCCAGACACGCCATAGGCTGTATGGATAGCTCTTTGAGAGCTTAGTTTTGTATGTTGGCTTGTAACTTCTCCTCGAATTTTGTCTTCATGTAATATACTCTATAATCTGTCTCCATATGCTCATAACTGACTTGGAATACAATGTTTATTTAATTCCTTCACTAAACCTGATGGGAGGTTCCCATTCAACACATAAACAGATGCCCAGAACTCGTTTGGTTTATTTTGTGCTCATTATTGGAGCTATATCCAATGAAGTAACTTTTCCCTGAATACATTTTAGTTTCTCTATCTTGACATGGTGAAATGGTTAAATGTGCCATTGCTTTATGTTTTGGGCTCAAGCTTTGATGATCCTCTGCATGAGCTTTGACTAGTTTCAATTATCTGACTCCAAGCCTCCTTTCTATTAAATTAAAGATAAATGAAACTATCTCTCATGCAATATGGAATGGCCATGCTATTGGTTTTACAAGGTCAGTTCTAGATTTTAACCATGGGTGTTTCTTAATGTGTCTATCAGCCTTCCAGATTTTTGCTTTTATCATGATATACATGAAACTCCTTGGTTTTTCATGCTTTGATAAGTAGACTTTGAGTTGCAATTTTAACTTGCGTTTTGGATCTTTTTTGTGTATTTTGTCGATCAGCAATTGGTCATGAGCATTTGCTCTCTTTTGTTAACTGCAAATTGGTTTTTAGGACCGTTGGAGCTAAAATTATGCCATATTTGATGCTTTAGGATGTGAATTTTAGAATAATCAAACCCATATTTAAGGAATTCCCTTGGAATAGAACTCTATAATTTCTAAGCTCACGATATAACTTTTGGATTGCGTGACAAACTCTCAGTTTCCTTCCCTTCATATTTAGATAAACATAATTCCAGTTAATATATGCCATATAGCAAAATTTATAGGCTTCGAGATTGCATGATCACCTAAGGGATAAATTTTACCTTCAACAATTACAATCTTAATCTTATCTTCCTAGTGATTTTTAGGTATTTTGTGGACTTAGTAAAGAAAGAATGGCATTGTCCTATGTACACATAGAGGGGCTCATTTTAAAAATTCTAGATTTACAGTCAATATTGCACTTTGTGCAGGTTCTCATGCGTTCAAGTGAAGTATTTAGTTTCAAGAATGGCAGGTGTGTTGTTAGTGACTCATTGTTTCTTCTTTTGTTTTGTGGTCGGAACTACATGTTAACTCCTTTATGCTATTGTTCTGAGTTACTAGTACATATCAAAGATAGTGGATCATTTTCTAGTGATCTTTGTGGTTTCAAAATTTGAATTGGGTGTTCTTTTAAGGAGCCATTCGTGGGCCTTAGGTGGCTGTTAAGGGATTCTTACTGCAATAATTTTCTTTATGTTCTAATTGAAAAAACACGTAACTATACTTAACAAATTATATGAGAGTAGAATGACTCCATCTTTGCAGGAAAACCACTAGTAAACCAATCCTCTTCTTGATAAAAGTAAGATACTTGAACTGAGCTGCCCTCCCTGAAAAATTGTTGTCAATTGACTTCTGCAAATCTTCTTGTGTATCCGTAACAGTTGCCTGAAATGCCTTGGCTTAAGTAATGCCCCTCAAGTTTGCATGGCTGAAATTTTTCATGAACAGAAATATCATGCTTTCTTATTGAAATTGAGAGATGAACTTTCTCTCCTAGAAGATATCAAATTTCAACTATAGAACTTAGAAAATGAATTTAACTCCCTTCCAGATCCTAGTTGAGGTGGGTATGAATCATCTATTAAAAACTCAGGGAGAGATGAGTAAATTGTACTGTTAGACCGATAAAATGAATACTGACTGATGGATCTTTAATGCTTGAGGAGTAAATTTTGTAATGGACTATACTTTTTGCCTTTCAAACATGTTGCTTCCTAATTCGTGTATGTTTCTTACTATTATTTTAGAATTATTGTGTGTGTGTGTGTGTGCCTGCGCATGCACGCATGTGTGTGTATGTATTTAATATCTTTGGTTGGATTTAGTGTTCTTTGGATGGATGGTTGGATTAGAGTTGCTCTTAGCATTTATCTGTTACATGTTCTATATGCCTCGCTACCACTTTGCAAGGAAATGATTCATATCCTGGCATTCTTTCATAATAGCATATATTTATTTAATGCTTTTTTGTACTATTTGATTTGCTTGTCTAGTTTTCATATCGGTATTTTGATTCTTGACCTTCATTTTTTATTTGTTCAGCATAGGGAATTTCTTCTTTGCGGGGGCACGCTTATTCTTTCAGTCCTTAGATGCTGCCATCTTTTTGTTCTCACGTGTATCAGATATTCCTACAGAGAGCCTCATTCTTCCTGTGGTTTCTACCAATGATCGTCTTACTTTGGGATGTGAATTATGGGTAATATTTTACCATTCATATATTACTACCGTGTTGGTCTAGTTTTTAAAGCATTTTATTTTGACGTTTGTTAGTGATCATCCTCAATATATTAAGCAGTTGCTATCAGACTTGCTAAATTAATGAATAATTATTTGTCCATAAGAAAAATAAAATTCCGCCCCAAAACATAGATTGGTGCTATTGGGATTTGGGCTTGGGCTTGATTAGTTATGGTGTTGATGACTGCACACGATGTCCCAAGTTAAAAAATTGTTGAATCACTAAAAATATAGAGTGGTGTTGTTGGGGTGGCGTTTTCGGTGATAGCCATTTATGGTTGTAATGGTAACTTTGGGTCCCATTTAATAGACCAAGAGGTGCTGGCTCAACCCCAAAATGATGCCATCTTGTGAGTATTATAAAAACTGAAAACACCCATTTCCATCCAATTTACAATTTGACGGTCTCTGTTGGTGTGCTTACAACATGATTACCATAACACACAATGGTGTCCAATTGGTGGTGAAGCTCATATTCATTTATATGAAATGCATGAATTTTTCCTATCCTGGGTCAAGAAATGATGAATCATTGCTGGTTTTAATGTTTTCTATGTCCAACTTTAGTATTTTAACACATATAATGGATTTTCTTGAGAGCTTACTGGCATTGATTATGCAATTGATTTATCCAATCATCTTTGAGGTAATGTCGATCTTGTAATATAGCTGTGACTATCTTCCATATAAGTTGCGCATGGAGTTGCTCTGTTTGTCTTGATAGCGACATCCATCCTGAAATAGACAGTTATGAATATAACTGCATTCATGTCTGCTACAAAACCACCAGAACTTTCCTTCACCACCCAAAATCCAAGTTTCCAAATGGTTAGTGACCCTACAAAACACTCCCAATGGATCACCCAAATAAAAAGGTATTGCCTATCCCAAACAGATGTATAATGAGCGAGCCTGAGGGGGAATTGCTCAACCATCTTGTTTTGCACTATGAAATAACAACTAGGGCCTGGTCCTATGCATTAAACCTTTTTGGAATACAATGGCTTACCCAGAGTCGATTGAGGCCCTATGGAAGAATGGTACTCCCCACCTTTGCAGAAGATGGATTATTACTTTGGAGACTCATGATCGTCACTATTTGGCGGGTTTAATGGATGGAAAGAAACAATCAAATTTTCAACTCCACATATTAAAAAGTGGAGTGGCTAAAAATAGGATTAACAGGGAATACTCGATATTTCGAACTCTCCAATGGCATGGGTGTTCTCTAAATACTCATGGTAGGGTTCTTTGCCTGTCTTATTTCATTCATACCAGATAGTATATAGTTTTAGTGGTCCCTGGATGCATAGTTAAAGATTATAAGGTTTCTTCCTTACGAGAACTTTTTGGGAGGTTTGCACTCATGTGAGGCTCTGGTAGGACTTGAAACTTGCCTTGCCTCTGGATTCAAACCCCTCTATTTCTTTGCCATACTTGGCTTCTTCATGGCTCCAATACACACAACATCCCATCAAATTCATGATATCGTAGAATTCCACAATCACTGCCCTCATACAAGATGACGAATACATTTGAACTGTTAACAGAAATAAGATTAAGAATTGTTATTATGCAAGAATCACAGTATTGGCCAATTGTTTTTATCATGAGCAAAAATGATCTTCTTGGTTTCATCACATACTCGTCTGGTTCTTGCATTTCGTGAAACTCTTTCTACATTCCATAAAAATAGTTTCCTCAAGTCTATTACTGTCTAAAAGTATGCTATTTGCCTTTGCTATGCATATTTTTTGAATCCTTTTCTTTAGTTCGCCGCCCTTGATTTGTTTTTCTCCACTGGTTTAGGTAGCTGTATGCATATATTTACTGATTTTATGATTGAAACAGTGTCTGATCCTCTGATGGAAACCTATGTAATGTTTTCTAGCTGATCATATGCCCCAAGTGGAAATATATGTAGATAAACTGAAATTTCTTGACCTAGGAGAATAATTTATTCCAGTATATTCTTAATCTGTCATTCTGATGTTTAGTGGTAATTTCTTTCAAGAACCATAATTTGGAGCCTCTTCTAAAAATTCGCACTAAGTGTAAGCTATTACTGGTTGAGTGATAGTCTTACTTTATCAACACATTACACAATCAACAGATATTTCAATTGTATGGCTGTCATGAATTTTCATGACTGAATCTCTCTACCATTTCAGGATGGAACGATAATTCGGGGTCAAAATAAAATATCTCATCCAACAAATGAATCCTTGGAGCCAGTTAATAAGGTCTGCATAGTAGAAAAGAATATCTCATGTATTTCAGTTTGACAATGTCAATTATGTTTCAAGATTATCCATGATATGTATTGTATGGGTTTTCATTTTTCTTAGATTATTCTTATGATTTTAGGTTCTACATTTCTGTTATGGCAACTTATGACCTTAGCATTAGAAGGTAAATATGTCAATAATATTCATGATGTTGTCAAATGAATTGTAGATTGTAGAAAATAAATATGTCAATAGTACTCACCCAAGTGTTGTACGCTTTCTTATGTACCCCTGTGGGTATGTGGGAACTCGCCTCAGCCACTAGCGGAGGCCAAGTTACTCGGCCTAGTCTTTGAATGCTGTCCCCATAAGTTGTTTCCTTGCTTTCTGTCATGTGTCGTGCAACTATTAGCACCTGTCTCAGAGAAGAAGATAGAGGTTATGCACAAGTGGAGATGGAGAGTGGCTGAATTTGCAATGCATCATCCAAGGCTGATAGTGGGCCCAAAACCCGTCAACTGTAATTTACATTTTAGAATATAAATTGAAATTTTCAAAAAAATGACACCGTATAAAAAACTTAACATTTATTAGCACAGCTGTTGTCTTTCTAGTGGTGGCTTTTTTTAAGTAAATAACTATTTTAACATGAGATAGCATACACAAAAGCAACCTCTATGTGATGGTAGCCCTTACGCCCCATTGGAGCACATCATGGGTTGCAAACTTCGCCTCCACGTTTAGCTTTGAAATGCGATTTTAAAAATGCAATCTTGAAAGTACATTAAAAGAAACTACACCAAAGGATTTGATATAGTGCCCTATTGAGTTAAGATGGCCTACCATGTAGCCCTTGAGCAACATTTCTATATAATGTGTTGATACGTACTGAAATTCAATTAAGTCACCTGACACTTATGGTCAATATATCTCATCTGTGCCAACACATGTCTAAGTGTCAACATGCGATACAATGAATATTATGGAATAATTAGGTTACACATATCCTTTATACTCCCCCTCAAGCTGTACATCAGCAACAAACATGGACGATTTGCCCTTTAGAAAGTTGATCTCTGCTTGGTCGACCTTTTGTAAAAATTTCTGCCGCTCTTCATTCCAAACAAACATTGCAACTATATTTTTGTCTTCAATTTTCTATCTCAATAAGTGTTGATATTTCTGAATATGTTTGGTCTTTCTAGGAAGAACTAGATTTATGGAAATGGCTATAGCGCTTTGATAGTCATAGTATAGAACTCAATTGCACAACTTGAGACCAAGGACCACAGAAAGGCTCCTTATATATATAATTTCAGAAGTAACTACTACCATTGCCCTATACTTAGCTTTTGTGCTCGACTTTGCCACTATCCTTGGCTTCTTGCTACGCCAGGATACCAAGTGCTGCCATCTTAAAAGGCTCTACAATCCTTTAAGAAATTCATATTCTTAAGATTATTTATAAAGTAAAGCAACCCATCATTTATATTGCACTTTATGTACTTAATATCCTCTTGGAAGCTTCTAAATGATCTCTGCTTGGATTATGCATGTGCTGAGTTACCGTGTTAAATGCATGCGATGGTGATTCAAAAAGCGACCCGCCTAGTGCCTAGGCAGCTGCTAAGCAGGCCAAAGGGGGCCTGGGCGCATTGCCTAGGGCTAGGTAGCAACCCTGGATGCCCGCAGTGGGGGGGGGGGGGGGGGGGGAATGCCCCTCATGGAGGGGTGTTTTTGTCTCTTTTTTTTTGGCAAGATTAGAGGGGGAAAGGGGGACGGTCCTCCTCCTATGTGTATGTATGGACTATGGACTATGGAGTCATGGAGTTTATGTAGACTATAGAGTATGGACTATGGTTTTTTCTTTCCTTTTCCTAATGATGAGTTGATGGCTAAATTTGAAAATTTTCAAGGTTGGATTATATTTTCCTATTTTTCTTATTGTGTTATTAACTAATTGTCCAAATCTCAAATACTTTGGACCTCACCTCAATATTCATTTTTTTACTATGTATGGTGTATGGAGTATGTACTAATGGTATGAAGTGTATGGACAATGGATTATGAATGTGCTATATGTTATGAATTCTTAACGTGTTTTGTCTCAATATGCATTTTTTAATTTTTATATAAAAGTTGGATCTAAAACAGTTGGATCAGATACCTCCTGCCCTTCTTATTCCACCTGGGCTGCTTAGAAACTTGGGCGGCTGCCTAGGCGCTAGGTGGCCAGCATCCCCCCGGACGCCTAGGCACTGCCCGGCATTTTTTGGAACACTGGCATAGGATATATTTTAAAAAAATATATATTTGGCAGTCAAATGTTACCTGTCATGAAACAAACTTTTCTTAGTTCTTGGGCAATAGTAGTGATATCCTTTATACATATTGCTATAGCTCATTAATACACACATTTCATCTTTTGCATTAATTTATTCCTTGACTTTCATCGACATGAACATAAGAATGGCATCTGAAAACTTATAGCATGTTATAATTGGAGTGTCTTCAAGAACAAAGGATGGAGACTCTCCATAGGTGTTCATGGAAGGTATCGATTTATAACATGTATTTCAATATTGAAAACCTCACTTGACTTGGATTTGGGATCTTCATTGGCATAAAATGACAGATGGAAAGAAAACAATTTGGTTGAATTTAATATTTGGTGTGCTGCATGTTTTTGAAGGTAAGATGTTGCTCGGATGGAAATAAGAACCAAGAGACTGATTTAAACTGAGTGTGAAATTGAATTGAAACTTTTCTTGGGATTCCATATCTTGAATAGTTGTGATGTGGCAGTAGTTTCATTAATATTCTTTAGCATTAAGTTATGTTCAATGTATATATGAACAGATTCTGCTCGTATCTTTGTTTGCTATACTAATTGACCATGTGATGGCTGAGGTATGATGAATTACTTTTCTGTATTCCTAGACAGAAAAAATTAATTACTTTTATGCACATTTTAAATTATTATTTTTGAATATGGATGTTCTAAATAGAGGTTTACGGAAGATCTGATTTCCAAATGTCAGGCGTGCTCTTCATTTCAATCTCTGACATCCGGAATAAAGCGTGTATTCTACATGTCAAGCGAGGGCACAAATTTACTTCATGAGGTACATAAGTATATTTCATATTGCTATGGAATAAATTATCGATATGGACTAAGTGAATAAGTTATCTGGAGTTTCTTTCACGCCCTAACTCGACTTGCTTAAATATTTTTAATTGTTTTGTTCTCATACTATGAGCAACATGGTATTCACCTTTATCTTGGATTAAGGAATTATCTGTGTTTGGTTCTAGCTCATATTGAAGGCTCAAGATGATTCGTTAATCTTGTTTTCTAGAATATTTTTTCCTTCGACAATTATTAGTGTCCTTCAAATATCATTATGTGAACTAAACTTGCTCCTGAGAATGATCAAGAGCTTGTTATATTTTAACCACTCAGTTTGGCTGCTCTAATTGGTCGTACGAAGACTTTCGAGAAGAATGATGAATATATTGGGTGTCAATTGTGCCAATGTTTGTTACCCTCATTATTTTAAGCTTTCTGTCCAAGGTTTGGACTAGACTTGTCCCCTCTAATGCCTCCATGGGGTGTCCATTGGTTCATGCTCGATCTAGTAGAAGAACTAGAAGGTACAATTGGAACAAATGAAGTCACTTATTTAAGTTAAATGTGCTGCTGGAAAAGTAGTTGCATTTTTCTTGTAAATTTACTAAGCTGAAAAGATGGAAGTGAAGAAAAGGTTCTTAAGATTTTGAATCCAATTAGGACATGTACCTTCCATATTAATGACAGGGCCCTTCTTAGTGGGTGACATACTTGATCTGAGTGAATTGATTCGATAAAGCAATTTTTGTCTTCCATTTTAAGTTGAGATATTGTCTTTCTCATATTACGGTTTCATTTTTCAATATTTTCTAACTGGTTCTCAAGTTCATTTTCTGCATTTTTTGTAAATAAGTAGTAGCTGACATTGTCATTTAATTAAGCTGAGTGGCATGAAGTTGACAGCATTGCTTTACAGCCTTCAAACCTTTGGAGGATTTAATATTGAAATATTAAAGCTCTAGATCTGTTTAGACACGAGGCCAATTGAGCTTCGGTTATCGTAAGCATTTCCTATATAATTCTTTTTTTCATCAATTGCTCTTAAACAATGTTTTAAAAAGGGGCCTGATTAGCACATAGGCGGGCTAGGGTGGCCTGGGTGCATCGCCCAAGCCCAGGTAGTCTTCCTGGGTAGGAAGTACCTAGCGGCTGCCCAGGTGCTTGGGTGCCTACCTAGGCCGACGCTAGCAACCAGGGGCAAATATGCCTCTCGTGGAGGGGGCTTTTTTTTTTTTCAAAAATTTAAGGTTGTAAAAAGGGGGCGGGGGAGGGGAGGGGGAGGGCGAGGGGGAGGGGGCAAGGGGGAGGGGGCGGTGGGGGGGAGAGGTTAGGTTCATATGCAACTTCACAGGCCTTGCTGCTTGGCTTGCTTTGAATGAAGGTCATGTAGAAACGGAGGATAAACCTCCTTTGAGCTATTCTCAAGGGAGAAAAACTTCAAAAATTTGGGATTAAGTGATTCCCATAAGATTGAAGGATTTCTTAAAGTTCTGAAAACTCGATCCAAACATCTCCCTTTGAGTTTGGATTTACTTTTGGAGATTTTTCAGGCCTATGAGAGGTTTTTTAGGAGATTTTGAGATTAAAAACATCTCAAAGATGGAAGTTGAAGATCGGGCAACTATGGTTTGTGAAAAAATTTTGTTTTTCAGATTGTTTAGATTAATTTGAGATGTCTTCATCAGGTTCTAATAGAAGTGGTGATGCGGGTTGGAAATATGTCTATAACTTGAATCCTTTAAATGGAAATTGCATAAGATGCAATTATTGTGAGAAGGATACAAATAGGTGTATAAAACAGTTCAAGAAACATCTTGCCAGTATTAGGGGGATGTTGCCCCATGTAAAAAAGTTTCTAATGCCATTAGAGTAGATAAAAAAAGTATATGAAAATAGTAAAAAAAGAGAGGAAAGAGTGGCATGCATAGTATAGCTAAGGTCTGGCGTTCGGGTTAATTGTGATGATGATGATAGTGATGAGGAGGGGTGTGATGAGGTAGATCAACTTGCTATATCCCAGGCTAAGAGGAAAGGAAAGGGAGTTTTCGTTGGTTTTGGAGGTGGGGGCCTAAGAGGCTTTCGGTTAGGGGGCCTATGGATTCTTTTTTACCCCGACCTAACCCTGAGGTTACAAGTGAGAAAACAAAGAATCAAACAACCATTGAAAATAAAATCAAGAAGGAAGAGAGAGAGAACTGCTCATTATATTGCTCGGTGGTTTTATGAGGCGGGCATTCCTTTAAATGCCGCTTGCGTGAGCAGCTTCTACACTTTGGTAGAGGCAATTGGCCAATTTGGGCCTCGGTTGAAGGCCCCCATCCCTATATGAGCTCTTAGAGCCTCTTTTGAAAAAAGAGATGAATGTCACGAGGATATTGTGGTGTCACAGAAGGATGCATGGGCTTAGTATGAGGTTTTTGTTATGATTGATACTTGGAGTGACAAGAAGAGAAGAATTTAGATGAATTTGTTGGTGAATTGTTCTTCAAGAACTGTTTTTTTGAGGTTTATTTATGCCTTCGATGATAACCATGATGCCCATTGATCAATTGGCGTTTGCTATCCCTAAAGCTCTCTCACCCATGTGGCCCAACCATATATGCCACAATTGAGTCAAGTCAGAATTACCGTCATCAATATGAAAACTGCTCTTCTATCTGTAATAGTATTCCCAAGGGATACATATAAATTGCGTCGGATCTTCTTGTCTTTCATCACAACCAGAGCACTCTTAAGAACCTTCAAAACTCTACCTTCTCTAACAAATTTGCAGCCATTGGAATCTAAGGCACCCAAAGATAAGATTCTTCTTAAGATCTGGAGCATGCCTAACATCAGTCAAGATTCTCACAACTCCATCATACATCTTAATAATAATTGTCCCAACGCCAATGGTCTTGCAAGCTGCATCATTCCCCATCAAAACTGATCCACCATCAATACTCCTGTATGTGGTAAACCAATCCCGACGAGGGCACATATGATAGGAACATCCTGAATCAAGAACCCACGAGTCTTTAGAGTTGTCACAATTTGTCGAGATTGACAATACATTATTTGTTCCACTTATTGAGCTTCCATCAACAATATTAGCTGCTTCGGAGGCTCGTTTTCCTTTTTTTTGAGTTTTTGGCAATCCTTCTTTATATGCCCATTTTTCTTACAATAAGTGCAATGAATATTACCTTTCCTTGATCTTTGGATCTGGATCTACCCTGACCTTCTTGTCCCTTTTCACTTTTCTCATCAGATCTCCCTCTAACCACTAAACCATCCGCATGTGGTTGAGCATTAACTTGTCTCTTCCTCAAATCATTAGAGAGAAGAGTCGAAGTCACATCCTCCATCTCTATGGTATTTTTTCCATAAAGCAATTTTGTGACTAGATGCTCATATGATTGAGGGAGTGAGGATAATAAAACTGTAGCTTTATCCTCATCATCCATTGTAACACTAATATTCAATAATTCACAAGTAATTTTGTTAAAATAATTCAGGTGCTCATGGATATCTGTACCTTTATTCATCCACAGGGTGTACAATTTTTGCTTAAAAAACAATCAATTTGTGAGGGGTTTCATCATATACAAACTCTCAAGCTTCAACCAAAGACTTATACCGAATCCTCATTGACGATATTAAATAGCACTTCACTCGATAAACACAATCAAATAGTGCTCAAAGACCTCAGATCTAAGTCTTCCCAATCCTCATCAGACATGGATTTTGGTTTCTTTGACTTTCCTTTCAGAGCTTTTTGTAGACTTTGTTGCACTAGAAAATCCTACACATTGATTTGCCAAATTTTGAAATTATGTTTGCCATCAAATTTCTCCACCTCAAATCTTGCATTCGAAACCTTTACCGCCATATCGACAACCCCAAACCAGGTTCTGATACCACTTGTTATGCGCGGAAGCTGTAATTTTCTTTCTTCGATTTAGTGGAAAAATATCGATGGTCTTCGTTGTGGATGTAATCACATCTGTGACGAACCACCTAATTCTGTTGTTCTTTTTCTGTTATTTATTTCCTGCTTTATTTTTCTTGCTTGTTGCTGGTTCTATTTTTCTCGTACTTTATTTGCCAAAAATCAGCCTATCGGATTTAGAGCTTCCACGTACAACAGATGAGACAAAGGACCAAAATTGATCCAGATAATAATATACTTGAACCCAATCCTCAAGTTCAAATTTCATATTTGTTGTTTGTTTTTTATATTTCATTGTAATTGTAAATCATATTTCATAATCAATTTGCAGCCAACATGGGTGTAGCGCTCCAAACTTACAAAAGGCCATTGGGATCTTGAGCCTAACCACCACCTCGTCTGGCTATGTTCGGAATTAGAGTACTTTTGAGATGGTAATTTATTTTATTAGTTTACGATTTACTAATTTGTATTAGTATTTACTAGTTAGTAATTATGGATTACTATGTCAATTGTAAAGTTGTAATATTGATTAGTTTCATTTGATTTTATTAGATTCATACAAAGAAAAAAACAAGATTGAATCAAAGAGGCTTAGTGACCTAGTTTATGTGAAGTACAATCGATACTCGAAGGAGAGATTTGCTAAGAGAGACAAAGAGATACCCCCATAGATAAAAAAAATGTGGATAATTCCATGGAGTGGTTGGTTGATAATGATGAGATTGAGGGGCATGAAAGATTGACATGAGATATGATCCTGGAGGCCTCAGGGATAGTAACCGACCCTCCTAGGTTGACTAGATCTTCATAGAGGACGAGGGTGGTGGAGGAAGCAGAAGCATATTCAGAAGAGACAAACGACAACCATTTTGTTGAGGAGGGAGATAATTGTGATGATGATAGGCTCGACTCTGATGCATATGATGCAGCTGACCCTACTTTTCTAGATGATGAATGATGTCTGAAGACTCTTTGAGTCTTCAAGTCTATATTTTTTTCCTTTTCCTTTTCCTCCTCTTATGTGTATGTATGGACGATGGATGTGGAGGAGTGTATGTGGACTATGGACATTTGATATGTCATATGTGTTATTTATTTTCTTTCTTGATGATGAATTGATGATTGAATTTGAAATTTTCGAATGTTAGATTTCCTATTTTTACTGTGTATGGAGTCCATGGAGTTTGGACTATGGTATGGAGTATGGATTAATGGTTTGAAATGTATGGAATTATGGAGTAACGGACAATGGATGGACTACATATTATGTACTCTTAATGTATTATATGCCTCAATATGCATTTTTTTAGTTTTACACGAAATCTAGCCCTAAAACATTTAGATTAGATACCCTCTTGTGCTTTTTATTCTAACTGGGCCGCCCCAGGTTCTAGGCAGCCGTGTAGGTGCTGAGCAGCCTGAACCCCCTGGCTGCCTAGGTGCGGCCCTGTGTTTTATGGAACAATGCTCTTAAACTTAGCATGGCAGGTTCACACAGACAAATTTGATCTTGATATGGTTTACTTGTCAAGTAATGTCTTAATGAATATTTCAAAGTTTCTTATCCATGAGTGCTGGTTAGAATTTTCTTGGAAGAAGACAAGCATGTTATCCAGATATTGTATACAGGAGATGGGCACATGACATAATTGATTTTATTGAGACCCACAGGGGGTTGGCTTGAGTGGCTTTTGTACTAACCCTATCTTCACAACCTGAGAGCGAGTATAAAAATGTAAGGGGAATGAAGAAACCCCTCTTTGGACCTTCAGAATCTGCATAGATGCAAGGATGTGGACAACTCATGTTCCCTTTTGGAAATTAATGAGCACTGCATGAAACTGATTCATTTTTCAACAATGACACTTCGATCAAGAGATTTCACCAAAGGCTTTTAGTTGACTTGATCAAAGGCTTTAACCAACAAGTATTAAAACAACCTCGAGGTACTGTTATATAAAACATCATGATTTAGGAGTTTTTTGTTAAGCTTTATTATGATAAGTGTATCTGTGTCATTCTGGAATGGGTTCGAGAATGCAACATGGGACATTTTTCCTTTTTGTCTCTGTGGTTGTAAATGCCTGGTGTTTCCCGATTCCAAAATGGAATTGCTAACTACATCTTGCAAAACCTGTTTAAAAGTGGCTTTTTCCATAGTTCTCAAAAGGGGACATCCCCTTTTTTATTTAACGACTGCAATAGAACCGTGGCGCATTTGTCTTTCATTATTATAGGGTATGTTTCCTACCCCATTGTACATGGAGCCTTAGTGGCTCTAGTATCTTTCTCCTCCCTATGTTACAGATGAAAGATTTGGCAATGTCATAACCATTTATTTGGAAGTTTTTATCCCTCTCATGTCTATAATTTCTGTAGGCCTTGGTGGGCCTCGGTAGGCTGATCTAATTAAATCAAGAGCATTAATTTGTGTACTGCAGAAGAATGGGCAGTGTCAGGTGAGTGACCTGAATTAGCCTGGACTATGCATGATATTGCTTCTAGCTTTATGAATAGAAACATGTGTAGAAAATTGTTTTCCCTTATTCACAACACTCATAAGGACCAGTTTTATGGATAGAAATATGATAAGTTCGATTATGTAACAGAAAATTATATTGACCTTAATGAAATTGTAAATTTTATTATCATGCTGAACCTTTTTTCTTTTTCTTCTTTAGGTCTTCCCTGCAGTCAATTCTGCAGTTCTTGAGCAGTTGAGAAAAGTGGATTGTATCGTATATGCTATGGGTTCTCTTTTTACTTCCATCTGCCCTTCATTGGTAATGTCAATAGATTGTTAAAATTCATTACTTATTTTGATTCCAGTGGTCAATGTTTCATGCATCCCGTCGTTCTTGATTCCTTGAGGACTTGTTATTGTTTCAGAAAAAGTTTTAGGCAAGGGGGATATTTATTTAAATAGTTCTATATGCAGTTTTGTTTTCTAATGTTCCACATGTTTCATTGCATGATACATCAAATTTGAGATTAAAGCTCTCTTTTACAAAGCGATAGTATATATTGATTACAAGAACCTAAAACACGCTTCGAGAAGTATTTAGCAGGTAATCATCCATGAAATTCCGTTAGTGAACTTGATCAGATCAACATGCAATTTGGGAATCTGCTTTGATGCCAAATTTAAGGCTAGCCTAGCGCCTGAAGAGAAGGGCTAGAATAATTTCAGATTTATTTCAGAGCTTCTCTCTCAATGAGTTGTAGGGGTTTGTTGTTCATGGTGTAAAAATAATTAGGGATTACGGTTTCGTTTCAAGGGTTCTATTTTTTAAAATTCTAATGAGAATCTATGGGTTACGTTTTGATGGATTTTTGGATAGGATGTGTTTGATGTTTGAAGGGTTATGGTAGCACAAACATATAAAGAAAGAAGCAAATAGAGGATGAGAAAGGAGTAAAGAGTAAGAAATTTATAAGAAAACAAGAGGGAGAGGAAAGGAGGACATGTAAGAACTTAAGCAGAGAAAAGAGGAGGAAAAATAAAATATTAGGACGTGAAAGAGAAGGGGAAAAAAGAGGAGAAGAAGAGAAGAACTGAAGATTACCTTAAAAGAGAGGTGCTGCTAAGGCAACTCTATGACTTCAATCAAGGGAACAAAAGAAGCCCTTTCTTGTGCTATCTGAAATCAAAAGTTTTCTTAAGAAACAGTAACCATGGGCAGGACATCTCCACTCTCCCTTTTCTAAATATATGACACAAAATGACCCAAATACCCCTAAGTAAAATGAAATAAGAAAGATGAAACTACCCATTCATTCTCTATAACGACAAAAGGCACAAATTCTATAAGTTAACTAAATTTAAAATAAAGATAACTTAGTTTCCCTCTGTCTAAAAACATAATAAAATAGAAAACAAAAGCTCTACTGCATCGTTGAATGTGTCCAACTTTTCGCCACGAAAAGAATAGGTAAAAACAGTGATTAATTGGTCTAATGTAATACCATGATGCCCTCATAAATTATCCCCTGGTTGGGAAGAACTCAATGTTTTCTGCTATGCCTCCATATAATGTTGATAAAGATCCTTCCACTGCATCTGCAACTTACGCTCATCGATCCACAAACAATTAGTCGATAGTTGTTCTAACAAACCATGCATCTCTGATATGAACCAAGGCATAACAAGCCACGTATCTCTGATATGAACCTAGGCATTTATCCACAATCCAAACATCTACCACATCTTCTCTCTCTCTTCTGCAGCTAGTCTCAGTAGCTCTACATTCTTTAGTGAGCCAGAATCCAAATGTACAGGTGGATATGCTCAAACTCATAGAGATAAAGTGAAATTAACGATTGAGGAGATGTGGAGGTACTTAGGAAGGTCTAGGAGATGAACATTATCACCTAGCTTCTTGAGAATCCATGATGCCCTCATAAATTATCCCCTGGTTGGGAAGCACTCAATGTTTTCTGCTATGCCTCCATATAATGTTGATAAAGATCCTTCCACTGCATCTGCAACTTATGCTCATCGATCCACAAACAATTAGTCGATAGATGTTCTGACAAACCATGCATCTCTGATATGAACCAAGGCATAACAAGCCACGTATCTCTGATATGAACCTAGGCATTTATCTACAATCCAAACATCTACCACATCTTTTCTCTCTCTTCTGCAGCTAGTCTTAGTAGCTCTACATTCTTTAGTGAGCCAGAATCCAAATGTACAGGTGGATAAACTCATAGAGATAAAGTGAAGTTAACGATTGAGGAGATGTGGAGGTACTTAGGAAGGTCTAGGAGATGAACATTATCACCTAGCTTCTTGAGAATCCAGTATGACCTAGACTTTTGCTGACGTAACTTCCTAAGTGTCAATTGGGAACCTCTCACACCTTAGGGGTACCATGACAGATTCCCCTACAGAACATGATTGGTCGCTCAATGCTCTTCTGCAACTGCAGCCTCCTTTTACTTCGCATACTGGGTTCTCAACCTGTCAAGGACCTCCCTTTGTACTTCCTTGATGTGGTAAGCATAGTTTTCGGCTTGAATAGTTCTCCTCCCCACATAATGTAATGGAACACTATCTAACACGTGGAATAGAGTAAGCATACACTATCTTGAATGGAAATTTCCCAGTCAATCGGCTAACCGAGTTATTAAACGCAAATTTTGCATGAGGAAGACTCAGATGGCATTGGCTCGACACTTTACTTGATGGTGGTATTATGAGGCTGACTGTTAAAATCCTGCTAAACGTCACAATGTCCCACATATCCCTTCACGTCGCACCTTAGTCTAGGGAAAAATACCTATCCTTGACTAACATGACGTTCCTAGCCTGACCAAGATGTATAACAAGATCCCCACTAAGCAACTCAATGAATGATGTTATCGCGAAGAGAACTCCCTGGTATGCACAATTGAGTCTCTTAGAATCGAAATCTATCATGAGTAATAAACCTAGATGCATGATCTGTACCGTTAGGCCAACAAGACTCCCATATAGGACCAAACTATGGATCAATAGTGTATTGGTCCTTAAGGAAGTCAAAACCGATCACAGTGCGAGTCAATGTTTTCAGGAAGAAAGACCAATGTCTCAAGGAATCTGCCACCATATTGTGAACGCCGACTTTGTCCTGAGGTTAAATTTAAGAATGTGGCTCATTTGACATGTATACTATTTTGGTTACAATGAAAGTTAAGGTATCTTAATGCCTCATGATCTAAATACTACATAAGCTCCCTCTCAATCAAATAATGCATCCAGGGTTGAAGAGCTTCAATGATCGCATTACATCATATGTTGAGTAACAGAAGCACTCATTAAAGAACATTACAAGGCTCCCCTCCTGGCTCAATGCAGCTCCTATATCACAATAGACCCTGAAGACCATCTCAAAATCAGAATGCTCTAAGCTAAGCACTTGTCATTTTGGCCTCTACAAGTTAGAAACTCTTTGCTGCCTCTTGTGCATTTCTTCATGTCATAAGTGGTCAGTGTGATCAGAATGCTTAAGTTTTGGATAAATCTCAGGTAGAATGAATTGGGACCTTTGAAACTGCGCACATCACCAAATAGAACTCAGGGAAGGCAAGCTCCTGATGGCTTCTACATTAGTTGGATCAATATCCCTTATGCTACCGCAATGTAGCCCAGAAAATAGGTATTTTTGATCAAGAAAGTACACTTCTTAAGGTTGACATATAGCTTGATATCTCTTAGGATCTCTAGTACTCAATGCAAGTGTTCTACATGATCGTCACGGCTCATACTATTGAATAAAACATCACGAAAATATATAACCATGAATTTCCCTATATATGGTTATAAGACTTGTTTCATGATGCGCATGATTGTGCTCTGTGTGATTTGACAAATCATAGGGCAGGGCTAAGCACTCTTGAAGTCCTTCATGAATAATGAAGGCTGCCTTCCATTTTTCCCTTGGTCAAATATGAATTTGGTGTTATCCACTCTTGAGGTTAATCTTTGAGAAAAAAAATCCAAACACCACTCAACATCTCTGGCATCTTATCAAGCTTAGGTATGGGGAACCTATCTTTTATGTTAACCGTATTGATTGCACAACTTAACAAAATTCAAAGACTAGGATGAGATCTACCATAATGTTGCAATTTTTGGAAGATCCCCTCTATGACTCTTATCTCAAAAATCCTGGGAATCATGTTCAATGTGTCTCAATAATAAGATGACTTGAGAAGTGTAATGAGCAAAAAAAGAAATGAAAAGGGGTTCCAACTTTTGGCTTCATTAAGCCCTTTTTTCCCAATGAACTTGTGCTCAGATCAATGCTAGCCGTTCCCCATTTCTAATGAATCCTACTCTCAAAGGACCGGCATTAAAAATGTTTGAATGCTTTTGATAAAAGCATGATTCTTTGCCCATCCCAACACTCTACTTGAAGTATGTAGTACTTTCATTGAAGTGATTCTACATGTAGATCTGATAAGGGTGGGTCTGGCACTTCCAAGAAGTGTCAACGTTGCTACTAAACATTTCAGATGAAGTGTTTGACACTTCCATCTTCTGTGCATCAAGTGTACTGTCCTGCATTTCAATTGAAATGTCTTCAGCACTAAAGTGGAGCATAATGGGAACACTCTCCATGTAGAAGTGTTTAAAACCTCTTGAGGTATGTCCGAAAAATTGTCAAATTGAACATAACACCTCCAACATGTAAACGCCACGAGACATAAAGTTTTGCCACAAGAGATGTAAAATAACGGAAACTCCGAAATGTTGGTGGAAACACTCTTTTTTTAGACGCCCTCATGCTTAAAAGTTGATAATTTCCAATTAATTATGTTTGAATTAACCAAATCATGGGTAGTAGTGGTCTTTGGTGTGATGCCTGGTGGTGTTCTACATGGTTTTTCTAGCAAGAATACATGTAATCATTACTATCCATAGGAGGGTCAAACTAATGATTGCTGTAGTTTAATCTCTTTTGCCAATGTAGCTTACAGCAGCTGGTCACCGACATATATCTTTGTCACCATCATTGAAGCCTTATCTCAACTATTTGTGGTCATCTTTCATGAAATAGATGTGGCAAAAGTCTTACACTAGCTACCAACCTAACACAACCCTCCTCCTTTCTTTGGGCTTGAGGCAGGCCATGGCAAAGTTTGGTCAACAACATACATACTGCTTATAAAAGGATTACTTGTCTGTGAAGAGTATAAAGCTTGAAAAGACATAGCTCTTTTTTTCCTTCCTTGAAGGGTTGGGGTTTATCGACCAAACAGATAACTAGAGAGGCCTTAGATTCCCAGAAAATGTGATGTAACATTGCTAAAAGAATGTGGTGCGGGTTGACACCATCACCCAAGAAATTTTTCTATCATAAGAAATAAGTGCTTATCATTGTTTGAAAGAAGTGCCTCAAATTTTTCTATCATATGAGGATTTAAAAATCTTAATTGGGAAAAGGCTAAAATGATGATGATGACGATGATGGGGATTTTTAAATCAGTAAACACTAAAATTTTATGGAGCAGATGTGCTATGCATTATTCAAGTTCCAGCTCCTAGCAGTTTCTCAAACAATTTTGTGCCTTCACCATTCAAATGCTGCTCAATATCGTAGTCTGACATGAATTGGATACTTCTTGTCATTCTTCAATAAGAAAAAAACTGGAACTTGAATAATTCTTCAAAATATCATTTTCCATTACATCCATTTGTTCATTTGTAGTACTGATCGTCTAATAAAATTATGTTCAACAGTTCAAGAGAAAATGAAACTTTATAAAATCTGTATAATCTAGAATATCCTAGATCCATAAGCATAAAATGTTTCTTGCTACAAAAATGCTTCTCTTTGAAATAGGAAGTTGCTGTTTGTCATTTTGTATTATTGCTGCTGTTGTTGTTGTTGTTGTTTTTGCTTTTAAGTCATCTTCTGCAGGTATTGCTCGGTGTTGGTGAGATTATTTCCTCTCGATACTGCCTCAAGGTAAATGAATAGTTGATTGTTACGTCTGTTTACTCTAGTCCTTTGAACAAAATTAAGTGCTAACGTTTCTAGCCATTCAATTAGCTAAAAAAATGCAGGCTTATTCCTTACTAGGAGTAGTCTTAATTATTTGGGGAGTCTCTTAAATTATAAATTACCTTTAACTGTAGGTCCTTCTGTTAAATGGGTCGTATGACAGAGAAACGGCAGGCTTGTGTGCTTCTGATTTTGTTACCGCTATAACAGATGCTCTAAATAGAACTCATGGAAATCCCCAAAACTGCCTCAATAATGCTGTAAGTGAACACATGCAATTCAGTTTGAGATCCTTAGATGCCACCCTTATTTCTGCATTGACATATTGTCCATACTGTGTGTCACTTTGTCTATGTTGTTTTCTTTCTTCATGAATCCTAAAATATACATGTTTTATGATTGATACTCTTATGCTTTTCATTTATCCCTGTTTCTCCACTTTCATGTGGAAATTCTGTCCGAATAATTTCCTTGTTACTCAATACGAAGTCTTTTCGCAGCCTTCCACAATTATTCTTCATGAAGTAATCTCGTTTGAACCTAATAAATCATCTAAGATTAAAATGGCAAAGAAAACTGGGCCTTTAAGAAATCAAGAGAAGCTCCCTCCACACCAAGAATGTACAACTTCTAACTTTTACCTTTGATTGTCAGAATTGGAAAATGAAAACATTGACCTCTGCAATGTACATCTTGTGAACCCTTATTAATATTTTGACCAGAATTAAGAGCATGTGAGCCAAACAGACTAGAAGAAAATTATGAGTCTCTATTCGACCTTCTGTGGGAAAATACTGATGCTGGATTTTCCATGCTGTGGAAGTGGCGAGAAATGGCACATCAGCTGATTCCTATTGAGTTATAACTCTGCTGCCACTTCTAGTTAGCTTCTTTATTGAGGTCCTGGATGTAACAGCATCCAATGAATACAATATGGAAGAGTGATAAAGTAGTTGTCAGCCTGAAACACAGTGCACTGCATACTCAACTGAGGAGCATAATAAACAGTTGGAAAGTTTCAATGAACCTGAACCAGCAAACCTTATTCCAAATGACGAAATGGTACACCACTTGCTATTTACATGACTGAAAATTCCCAAGATTGTCCTTTGTACCTTTATGAGCGATAATTTCAATTTCTACTCTGGGTATGAAGAAAATGGATGAGTTCAAACAAATTCATTAACTGTCTTAAATTATGTTCAAGGGCAATGAACTAGTTGCCCCTCTAACTATGGTTTCATGTTCTGGAATTTATGTGGGCTATGGGCTATGGTGAAATCCTGCTGTCACCTCTCTCTCTGTCTCTCTCTTTCTCTTTCTTCCCATCCCCCCTCCCCTGGCCCTTTTCTGTTGATATTTATGATGGTTCATAAGCAGACTCACCTTGATACCGTGTTCAGTGCTTGGAAATTTGGAAGATTACCCCTCTCAAACTTACTATGTTTGATTCCATTACATTGTAGGCCTGAGTAAAGGCCTTTGAGTGCAACAGAAATGCTTGCACTTTCGATGGGCATAATTTCCTCTATTACTTAGAGATGTGAATAACTATAAAAAAATCAGAAAGAAAGATATGAATGACCCATTCCTATGATTTATCATATATAGAGCATAAGAAGGAGAAAGAAGACCAGAAGATCTTTGAATTTATTCACACTAAACTGTATAATATGTGAACGATTGATATAATGTGATATACTAATATTGTCCTAATGAAACTTGCCCAGAAAAGTACCAAAGTCATCACTGCTGAGTGTGAAGTAATCCAAATTTCAACCAATATTGATCTGGTGTGGGGGCACTTTCTGCTGCCTAAGTATTCACAAATGTACAAAATTGATTGAAAATTTGGGAACAGTGGCCTTACATCATGGACGTAGAAAAATTAGATTTCTCTTGAACCACTGACCTAAGCTGAATAAAACTTTACTTGGATTGTGATATAATTGAAATTACTGCACACTGTCCATTTTGTACGCAACATGAGAGCCTAAAAAAAGTATGCCTCAAGTAAAGTAGTTTCAGTAACTCAAGCTCTTCAACTCTCAGAGACTTGAATCAGTCTTGAAAACTCATATAATCTTTTCATTGGAAAGAACAAGAGCCTAACCGCTTGATTGGCTGTCATATATGATTTTGTCAATTTCTGTTTTGAGTTTCATCAAAAAGCGGTGATTTTACATATTGGGTGGAAATTGGTATTTCTAAGTTTTTCACGAATTAAGCAGTCATATTGGGTGGAAATTGGTATTTTCTAAGTTTTTCACGAATTAAGCAGCAGCATCTTAGGTGTGCATGTACACTTGAATGGGGACAAAATATGGCATCCAAAGATGCCACTCCATTCTGGCTAACACCTAAAAACCTGCACCAACAGCACTGAAATGTGTGTTGGGGTGGCGTCCAGACAAGCCCCAAAGGTCTGAATTGGTTTGCTGTCATTCCAGATCTTCTAAATTTTGAGCTATGAGTACTCCTAAATATTATTCCAATTTGATCTTATGACCTTGCGTTTGATGCCATGTTAAAAACAGCCTGTAGATCATAAAACAAACTTCAGTAGTTTTTATGGGCATGATGTATACATAATCCAAGTGACTAAAAGACCTTGAAGTTAAAACAGACAAGAAATATTCCTCAAAGATATACACAGAGGTACATCACAGAAATAAATGCATATTCACATGGAAAAATTATGTAAACATCCGTTTTAGTTTCCCTTATTACCAAAATACAGAATACTTTATGTTATTACTGATATGTCCGTTTTTTGGACTTCATAACAATTTTTTCTAAAAAAGACAAAACTACCCATTTTCAGTTTTTCAAAAACCAAAATCAAGCCAATTTTGGTTTTTGAAAAATCGAAAATTTTAAATTTTCGGTTTTTCAAGAATCGAAAATTTTAAATTTTTGGTTTTTCAAAAACTGAAAATTTTTCTCTTGTGGGTCCTCTGCTTATTCTCTCTCTACCTCTCTCTCCCCTCTCTCTCTAAATGCCATCTCTAAAAATTTCTCTCTCTCTCTCTCTCTCTCTCTTTCTCTCATAGAAAACCCTTTGTTCTTCCCTCCTCACATTTTCATATCAAGTAGCATTGTATACTGGATTAAAATTCCATGGAAACCCCTTTCATACACATCATCCCCTTTCTCTTGTCATCCTCCAAAATCATGACCTCATGAAAGCTTATTTCCTCCAACATCCTCTAAAACTAGTTTTTTTTTTTGAGACCTTGGAATGGAGTCCAGAACCTTCAGCCTGTTCCTCCTCTGAAACCAATCTAACCGACTTTCTCCCTAACCGATGTCCATGAAAATTCGTCTTCCTATCTTTCTTTATTATCTCTGCAATGTTTCCTATCATTTCTTTCCACTGATATGGGCATCTCAAAAGGAAAATTTTCCACTGGTAGAGAGAGAGAGAGAGAGAGAGGTACAGAGAGAATACGCAAAGGACCCACAAGAGAGAAAAATTTTCGGTTCTTGAAAAACCGAAAATAGGTAGTTTCATCTTTTTTTAAAAAAAATTGTTATGAAGTCCAAAAAATGGACATATCAGTAATAACGGAAAGTATTCGGTATTTTGGTAATTACGGAAACTAAAATGGATATTTACATAAACTAGTGGTTTTAAGGAATGTTTCATTGTAAGGAAATTTATCAACATGTAGAAATTGTAGTAAACTTGTTTCCATGCCAACTAATTTCACGAATTATTCATGGAAATTTAAAGTGACAGGTTAATGTGTTCTATACTGCAGTTTTTACCTGTTGTGGAAGCTTTAACTGTATGTTATTGTGTGCAAGTTGCTTATCTGATTGAACTCTGTTTATTGCAAACAAGAAAACCACATGCTATAGTAACTTAGGCATGTTCAACAGCAATCTACCTGGGAGGAAACCCTTGTCCATATTGAAAGCTTTTTCTCTTGCAGCCTAGTGCATACATAAATGCATTGCTGGTGCCTAGAGAGGGGAAAATTCCTGTAAACCTTCAATCGTTGGCAGCTCAGGGAATCGTACATGTGGTATTTTGCCCTTCTCATTCCCTCCTTTACTTGTATTGATGCTCACTAATTAGGATTTTAATTTCTACTGATCTAATATATGTTCTTTTATTTTTATTCTTTTTATGATTTAAAGCCATTCTGTTGTACTTCTCTATGAGTTTAAATAGACTGTTGTTACTAGTCATACGAGTGATCTATGACCAACATTTCAGAGGCCTCATTAAGAAAAAAAAGAAACGTAGCAACAGCTGCTGCTTCTCTGACCAGTTTACTGCTCCCTTTCAGTCTAAAAAGACCAAGGTCTGGGCCTCTAATTAGAATAGTGTTTACATTGGTCCTTCTGGATATAAATGATCCTTATATGACAGGAATGGAATTCTACATAGAAAATGTGTTGTATGCGTACTGATTCCCATTATGAAGAGTAAACCTGGTTTAAATGGTTATCAGTTTGGAAATGCAAGGGCCACTTCATTACAAAATTCAAATGAAAGGATTGTTGGATAGCTAAGAGGAGGAAGGTTTCATACAAAACTTGATCTCTATGAAGAATGCATTTACATTCACATGAAACTGCAGCTACTGGTGACATAGAATGCAAAAAAAGAAATAGCTTGTTTGGGCTTTTTGGGACGAACTTCGAAGGATTTGAACCCTGGACCTCCCTCACTCTTAACTAAAGTGTTTACCACTTGGCCAAAAGCTAAGGGACTGTGACATAGAATGCAGAAATAGGAAAGCTTATATATTGTTGTCATTATTGAAGGGCTAAGATGATATAAGCAGTCATATATTCTTATGTGCATAGAGACTTGTATGTGCTTGAAGCATCGGTTTCATACTTTGTTAAGACCGATATTGATAGTGGATGCTACTAGGATACTTGTGAATATTCAAAGGTATAGTTCTACAAAATAAATATTAGTACGAAAAACCTGCCAATAGCTCCAGACCTATTTTCTGCAGTAATTTTGTCCACCTCCTAGCCGATCCTAAGATCAAATTTGGGACATACATAGTTCTCATCGTCGTGCAACCATAAAAAACAAAAATAAATTGATGAAAATATAATACTCCTAAGACTTTCAGGGGAATTTTGGTCATTTTAATTTTATTAAACTTTTTTTAAATATTTTTTTTTATAGATGTGCCTAATGAGGTACACATGCCTCCAATTTTTTAGCTCAGAATGATCTGTAAAACAAATAATAAAATTCATTGACTATTACATGCTTTGAACTGTCTGATCAAGATCGGATACCTAGGAGGTGGACCGAAATTACCTTAATAAATAGGTTTGGAGCTATTGGTTGGTTTGTCCTATATATCAACGTGTTGGATGCATACATTACTGTATTGGTATAATATTATATTGGAAAAATATCTCCATACCCTCTATTTTTAAGTTTTATTTCATAATAGACCCAAGGTTTTAAAAGATGTCTTGAGGCATAAAAATTGTAGATTTTATTTCTTCTAACCTCTGAGCTAAGTTAAACTTGTTTTTTTAGGCCAAACAAATCTAAAGCGACATGCATTTTCTAAAAGCCATCCTCCCAAACTTCTAGAGAGAGAGAAGCACTTCATGGAGGTGAGAGATTATCGGGAAGAGAGAGAGAGGTGTTTGGAGAAACATGGCAGGAGAGAGAGAGTGAGAGACGTAGGAAGAGAGAGAAAGAGAGAAGTTTGGGGTATATAAGTGAAGAGAGAGAAAGAATTGAGTTTAGAAAGAGCGTATCTGTCTCACATTTGTTTAGGTTAAAAAATAGGTTTAAAGTGGGCAGGGGGTTAGGAGAAATTTTTTGAAACCTTGGGTTTATGAAGAAATGAAACCTAAAAATAGGGGGTATGGAGACATTTGTTTAGGTTAAAAAATAGGTTTAAAGTGGCCAGGGGGTTAGGAGATATTTTTTGAAACCTTGGGTTTATGAAGAAATGAAACCTAAAAATAGGGAGTATGGAGATATTTTCCCTATTATATTTTTGTTGGGTCAAATAGGTTACTTCTATCTGTCTTGGTTCCTGGACTGTGATAAATTCAGAATCATCTCCTCACATCTGCATTCGTATTGGAGCGTCATAGATATATTCTGTATATATTTCTAGGAAACTACAAGTGTACCATATTATTGAAAGACTACTAGACATTGTTTTTTGGGTAAGTAAAGACTACCAGATTTCTGTCTTATAAATCTATTTGTTCTTAGTCACCTTTTTACATGTACTAATAATGTGGCATGTCTAAGAGGACCAAAAGTTCAATATGCTGTTGACCCTTTTGGAAGAAAGTTTGCTAGTACAATAACTACTCGTAGGAAATAAAACCTGAGAAAAAATCCCAGTAGCCAAAATGTACAAAAGAAAGAAAGAAGAAACAGATCTATCTCAAGTTCCACTGACATGGATACTCCAACTAAAGGTTTTCTATGTGTTCTAAAAGGAGTGGGAATTTTCGGCAAATGTGGACCTTATCTTAGTGGTTCACCTCCATGGTTATCAGCTGCATGCCGGCATGTCTTTGAAAACTCCTGTTCATATCGTTACCTTATTGGTTTGATACTACGGCAGGATAAGCGAGATTAGATTTTCTTCCTGCAAAAAGAACTTTTTCCTGAAATATTGTCCACTTCATTCTATAAAGAGGAAAGGTTCTACGGGTTAAGGTTGCATTCAAGGTAGCAATTTAGTGCTTGTTAAGGTATCCACTATGATTCGCAGGTAGATACATACGGTGTTGATTTCTGTTGCTATGTCTATGAGAACGAAATTCAGAAGACCTGGGAAAACAGCGTAGTGGAGGGAAGAAAAATCAGAAGACTTGGGAAGTGGACTTAGGTTATTTTTAGATGTTCACAATGTCCACATACTAAGCACATTTTACTGAAACACTTTCAAAACACAACAAATGACTAAAATTGACTTGCCCATTGTGAAGAGTCTCAGGTTTCTCTAAAGAGACAGTGTGCATTTTTCAATATGAATGTACAAGCTTGTTTTATATAGACAAATACAGATTACTGTAATAGAAATTAAATCATACACTTAAACTATACCCAGACTTACCATAAAATATAGATATTGTACTTACCCTTCCCATATATACTGATTACAATATGTATTTTCCATATTAACTTAGTACACAATATATACCTTTTTTGTCACACTCCCTCTCAAACTCAAAATGCTATGAGAGAGAGCAGAATTTGAACACTATATTGTGGAAACGAGCAGTTGGATTTTGGACTACAATATTTGTCTCTTCAAGACAACTCATTGAAGTTCCATACTTTGAGGTTATCAAGCATTCAATGGCTCAACTAGAAGGACCGGATGGAAAATGTTTGGACTTCTATACCCTGAAGACCAAACATGACTCAAAATCCCAAAGGTCTAGAAGCTCCAAAAAATTACACCCAAAGCCGAGGTATTTCCCGTACACCTCCAGGAAACCAATAAATCAAATATTCATTGAATTTTCCTCCAGAAACAGTTGGGACATCTATTGACTGATGAATGGAATTGAGCAATTATCTTGCAATACCTTGAGGCCTAAAGATGACTCAAATTCCCTTAGGTCCAGAAGCTGCTCTGAAATTTACCGAGGCAGAGATATTCGTCATAAACTCCAGAAAATAGTAATCAGATTTCGCTTATACCCTTACAGAAGATTGGCCTTAAAAGGTTGTGAGAAACAATACTCAGTTATATTCAATTGCTTAAAAATTATCTGCCTGACAAGTGCATGGACATTCTAATTGCTCGAAAGACTAAAAAGCAGTGCCTGGAACTTGGGGAGGAAAAATATCCAGTAACTGCACAAATGACTCAATTTAGCTTTCAAACAAAAGCTAAGACTATGGAACAGATTTACCACTCTGAAAACATTTAACACAAAATACAAGTATACTCAAGAGAAAATGCATGTAACTTCCAAGTGATATTATTTGATTCAGGAGTTTTCATGCAGGTAAAAGTTGACTCCATAGATGATGTGACAGTTGGGAGCATTTTTGAGCCCAGGTCCTTGATCCAAGCTCTTGCTGAATTAATTCATGCATATAAGCATCTCAATAACAGCATGGAGGTTTAAATCTCATTACAGAACCTGGAAAAGCTAATGCTACAACAAAATTGGCAATCACAATTTTCAGTTCTGCCATGTCCCCGTGTACAGGCATTCATAATATTCTTGGACATGTGCCGTTCTCCAATTTTCCAATTTTTTGTCATTTTTTTTCCTTCTTTTTATTTTATTGTACGAATAAGTCATTCAAAGGTTCTTTTCAAGTGTTGTATCTACGGGTTGATGTATGGTTTGAAGTCTACAAAAATAATTTCAAATTCTAATTTATTTTATTTTGCAATTGCTTGTACTCTTGTCTCCATCAGTTAATTCAGCCAAATAATCACTTGAGATTCCCTAGAAATCACTAACCACAATGTGGTTATACCTTTCTAAATATGTGATGGTGTTTATTTCAAGGAAAACATTTATATCAGTGTTCGCAAAACCGGCCGGTTAGATTGCTACTGGTGGGGTGACGAATCTGGTTAGGGCTAGTTTTACGGCACACCTCATAAGACGGCACTCTACAAAAAAATCGGCACCAAAACCGGTCGGTTCGAGGTTGAACTGGCGGTTTTAGTCTAAACCGGCCGGTTTTTCCTAACTAGTCCGGTTTACTGTTTTAACGCCCGATATAACGGTATTTTCAACGCATCAAATAACAGTTGTTGTTTGATACATGCCCATTATTTTTTACAGAACAAGATTTTGCAGCTTTTATTTTACATATTTTTTGTTTTTTTGGGTCAACCACCGTAAAGTTTCTATAAATCGTTGATTATTGAATCAAAATTCCAAAAACAAAGAGTTCTTGGAAGATTGAAATGGGGATTTTTGAAACTTAGAAATTTTTGCCATTCTATCAAATGCAGCTTCAATACCTCATAGATTTTCATAAAAATGGAGGGCTTTGATTCATTGTTAAAGTATTCAACGTTCACATATTTCAAATTTTCCAAAATGATGAAGATTTGAGGTTTTTTTGGGCCTGAAGTACAGCTGCTTGAAGAATTGTTTTTTATCCAAACAGTTTGATTTCTGATCGATCAATTGATCGATTTTTATCAAATTGATCATTAGGCCTTATGTATCAAATAAACTAGTTATTTTGATTTATTATTGATTAAATGTTTTTATATCGATTTTTATTTGCTGTGTTTTTTTCTGAAATTTTCATGAAATGAAAAATCGGCAAATTTTTTAATAAAGATCTCAATAGTGAATGAATCTTCATTAAATTTCGGGCATTTGAATCTTAATTAAAGTATATATCATATTCCTCAATTTGTTCAAAAAATGAAGGATTTGGGGTTGATTTTGACTCTAAAGTTTATGTGTTCTTTCGCACGATTTTAGGGTTCTTAAAAAAAAATTGTTTTTTTAACAAAATTACGTTTTGTTTTTATAAAAATATCTTACTTATGATGAATATGAGAAAAAAAGAATATATTCTTTTTTAAAAATTTTATATATTTTTGGTGAGCTTTTTGGATCGTTTTTTATGTTATTTAATTTTTTTACAATTTTTTTTTTTTTGATGAATATGAGACAAAATATATTTCTTTCTTTTTAATGTTATATATTTTTGGTGAGTTTGTTGGATTGGTTTTAATGTTATATATATTTTTATTAAAATATTTTTTTGAGATGAATATGAGAATTTTTTTTTTTTTTAAGGTTATTTTTGGTGCATGTTACTATTGTCTGCGTTCTCAACTTCTTGTTTAGTTGTGACATTTTCTTCTAATTTGTTTTTTTTATTTTTTACCAGCTATCTATCATTTGTTGCAACTTCAAACTCTTTAAATCTGTTTATTAGCCTCTATGAAGAAAATAGGTAAAACTAAAAAGTGTTTTACTCATCTCTCATGTTTCCACATGCTGAAATGGATAAAAAACGTAACCTTTATTTATTTATTTATTTATTTAATATACATTTTAATTCTACATTTTGAAGTTGCCATCTTATATAAATTTTTTCTTTTCATGTTAAAACTCAACTCAAAAGGTTACTGAGTAAATGAGGTTTGGCCATTTGAAAATCGATTTGGACATTTTTTTAAAATATGCGATTTGGCCATTTGAAGCAACACTTAACACCTTGACCCACACCCTTGGTTTGATAACCAAGTTGCTGAGTAAATGAGGTGCTCTCTCTTTCACTCACAACCCTTCGAAATTGGGAACATCATGCTACAAGAAAATATGTTCTCAAACCTAATTCTAAACCGTATTAAAGATTTTCAACATTAAAATAACATTTTTCAACATCAACATTAAAACAATATAGAAGCATATATTGTTGCATCATTCATTGTTAGTTGGACTTTGTAACTTCATC